TATATATATATATATATATATATATATATATATATATACACAAAATGTTAAAATTAAACAAAAAAATTAGAGTGAAAAATACAAAGTGTTACACATATTAATTTTTTTAATTACGAATAAAATAACTCTTTTCTCATTCTTATATAGCATTGGAAGATGTACTTATCAAGTTTCTACAAAACATTTTTGGATGCAAAGAAAACAGAGATAGTATTTCTAATTATAAGAATAAGAATAATAATGTTTCTTTTCAAGTTATAATAATAATTTGTTTAATTGAACCTCGTCACGAGAAGTATCACGTTCCAAAGACGACCTCGAGCCTTCTTCTTTAGCAATCAAAAGCAATATCCCGAGCGCCTGGCAATAACGTCATCGCATGCACGCCTAATGATGGTCGCGTCGTCGTGTTCCCAATTTACCCCGATCGAGCAGACCCGTCCAGCGTTGATCCCGTCACGTAACCAGCTATGCAACCGATCCATCCTCAACTCGACGAACTAGCGGTTACTACACACATACACACGCGTGCGCATACACGCACATACACACAGCGAACGCGTGTAATATATGTATATAAAATATACTTTCATACATCGATATACCTGTGTCATAAATTTTCACGCACCAGGTGCAGGCGCCGCGACGTCGACCATCCGCTTCCTCCCACCAGCCGCGGAATCCTCGGATTAGCGCGTGCGTAAACCTCCATAGGTACACCCTGATTGTGTATGCGTGTGCAGATATATGCGTTGATCATATTCCTGCGTACGTGTGATCCTCATGTGGCACAGCCAATAGAGAGGGACAGGTCACTTGTAAAGAAAGACGAAATGAAAGAGAGGGAGAGAGGGAGGGAGGGAGAGAGAGAGCGAGGGAGAGAGAGAGAGAGAGAGAGAGAGAGAGAGATTAGGATTGAAAAGGGAAGGAGGGAAAGAGGAACGAGGATGTTTGATGGACAAGGTAGACTGACTATTGTAATAGGCAATACGAAACTGGCGTCTGGTAGCTAACGCTGGAAAAAAAGATCACCCAGCCAGATCGACGGCCAGCTCTCATCGTCCTCGCCGCCGACCGACTTTGGTGCTCGTGCGACCGTCAGTCGTGCCGGAGATGCGCCCTCGTGAAGTCGACTGATAGGCGCCATCAGGCTGGAGACCTCGCGAACGAGATCGCTGGAGAACGCCGGAAGACATCCGTTCGGTCAGTTGGTCGGTGGGTCGGTTAGTGGGTGGGTCGGTTAGTCGGTCGGTCTCCTTAAATTGGTCTCTTCGGTTGCCCCGCGGAACCCCTCGGGAATTCTTGATTTTTTTTTTTTAGCGCAGACGTTTCAGTACGGGAGAAGATTTATCAACGCCGGTCTATTCAGGGGATCTCATCCTAGAGGTGTTTACCGCACATGACGGCGCGCTCGTAACTGGAGCCTTTCATTTAATCATCTCAACCGATATTTGGAAGTGCTGTAAGATTTTTTTTTTAAATTTGATTTTTTCTCTGTAAAATAAAGTATGTCTACAAGGCAAAATAAAAAAAAGATGAAATTGGTTTTGAATTAAAATAAGCTATTCTAAGCGAAGCTGACTTGCATACTACAAATCCAAGTGTACGATAAGTGCCTTCATATGTGTGTGATTTAATTTTTCCGTATAAAAATGACATACTGTGCAACATATACAAAAATGGATTTATACTTATAAAGGTGTAGCGTATATAGTGTTATTTTTTTACAGAAAAAAATACACACATATATGAAGACACTGATTGTGCACTTGGATTGCAGTATACAAATCAATTTTTTTTTATCGGAATTTATTTTAATAAAAACGATTTTATTATTTTTTTTTATTTTAGACTCGTAGACAAATCCTATCTTTATTTTACGCAGGAAAAATCAAGTGTAAAAGAAAATTGTTTGCAGTGTCTCGTTATATGTACAAATCCTAGAAATAAAATACGTCGTTACTCTTCTGACAACATAGATAAATTTTCTCAACGTAATTTTTCTCTCGTTTAAAAAACCGCGATTAATTTTTGCGACGATTCAGAATAAAAAGATCGTGCAATCGCACGATCAGTATAACGATAGTTCATCAAGTGTTTCAACGGAAATTCTCGTGATTCTGAAGTGTACTCGTTGGAGATATGTTTTGGGGAGATAGAGAACCGGAAGTACCAGCCACGTGGCAGGAGGTATCGACCTTCTATAAAGCTTGGTTGAAGAGCGTATTCTTCAGCGAATTCAACTGCCCTGCGCGCGGACCGATCTGCTACGCTAAGAGCGTTCAAGAAAAGAAGGAAGTTCCGGGACCTGGGCTTGATTTCGCGCCGCTCGTCTTCCAGAGCATTTTCTACGTCGACACGAAAAAAGGTTTTGTCTTCAAGAGCTCTCTCAATTTGTCTTCAACTAATTCAGCACATAATATCTAAAATGACTTGTAATTCGTCGTATTTCGGAATTGTATTATCAGAGTAACCGAAAAATTATTTTACATTATCCACCACAAATTTGTGAATACTTAAAAATTAAATACTTAATAAATCTGCACGGTGCGTGAGTTTCGTATGTAACACAGCTTCTTCTGATACGCATCTCTGATCGAAAAAAATATCGGCTTATCATTTCCTTCTTTTTCTTTTTTAAAAAAAAATTTTGCAAATTTTCAAGATATATACTCAAATTAATAATCGTTTCTATACATTTTAAGATGCAATTACCAAATAAGTTTAACTTAATTATTAAAACCTATTAGGACAAGAAATATATCTTTCTATTTTCGAGGAATATTATTTACGTGCGAATTATTCTATATCTTTGAATATGAAACCGAGAGATGACAAACACAAACATTAAGTAGTTATTTTTGATATGAAATCTTGTTTGGGTGCGAAAGCTGCAATTTTGTACATCAGTGCCAACCAATCGTGGCTCGCTCGAGGAAACTATGTCGCGCGGATGTCCTTGAGATGTACCTGATGAACGCCACTTTACTCGTTTTCAGCTGAAGTGAAGATGCCTAGCGGAAACGTGGACAAGCCAGTTATCGAGGACAATCATGATGGTACGGTATCTATCAAGTACGAGCCGAGGGAAGAGGGCCTTCATGAGATTTATGTGAAATTTAACGGTGAACACGTCCAGGGTAAGTTAATCCATTCATCTCGCAAATTAACGGCGATTACGCAATCGTGAAGTGCGATCGATCACAGGAGGTTCACAGAGCATTCCAAGAATAACGCGCTAATGTACGATGCGTGTGCGATCCATACGATCCTGAAACACAGAAGCTATATGAAATTTCATTCCCCGTGTAATGGATCTCACGAGCGCCAATTTACGCTAATAATAAATCTCCCCGTCTGACAAATTAATTTACTTCACGCGACCATCATTAAACATAATATTTTCCAATTATCTCTCAAATAAAAAAAAAACATTTTTTATATATTATTTATTGTAATATCTCATTAAATCGATATTTAGACCAAAATTATATAATTTCACGAGTAATTATATAAATATAAAATTTTTTCAGGTAATCTCTCTATTTTCACTTTCTTTTTTTTTTTTTTAACAAAACTGTATAAATTATTTATGTCAAACAAATGTTTGTCTATATATGTGTTTTATATTAATATACGATTTTATTGCTAGGTTCTCCCTACAAATTCCATGTCGATTCTTTGGCGAGTGGATATGTAACAGCGTATGGACCAGGTTTGGTTTACGGCGTTTGCGGTGAACCTGGAAACTTCACCATCTCGACGAAAGGTGCCGGTGCGGGTGGTCTTTCGTTGGCTGTCGAAGGGCCCAGTAAAGCCGAAATAAGCTGTCACGACAACAAGGATGGCACGGTATCGGTATCTTATCTGCCTACCGCACCCGGAGAATACAAAATTACCGTTAAGTTCGGCGATAAGCATATCAGAGGCAGTCCTTTTGTCGCAAAAATTACGGGTAAGTAGATTAGAGATTTCGTACGAGACGAGATGAGACGAGATTTCTGCAATCTCGATCTCGAGCTCGAAAAATCTTGGAAGCATCTTGATCTCGAATCTTGACGAGATCTCAACGAGATTAGCAAAAAATAGTTTAACAAATGCAAAAGAAATAGTTTTATTTGTGAGTATAAATGAATGTATTTATTAAAATTTTTTACAAAAAAGTACTGTATATTACATAACTGGGTACCTCTATCTTAACACTACTCTTAAAATATAATATGAAGAATAAGATTTTAATATAATTTATATCAATGATTCTGAGATAGTCGCCACGACCATATTGAATCGTGACGACATAAACGACACGTTTATTTTTATGTGCTGTTTGTAAATAAAGCCAATGTGAATAAAACTAAATGATGAGATAGCTTTAAACATTTGTAAAAATTGACGAAATTTCGACGAGAATTTTAAACAATCTCGATCTCGTTATGCTAGATCTCAGTATTGATCTCGAACGTTACAAGTGATCTCGGTCTCGAATCTCGTCTCGCATGCGCAAGGGTGTCCTAATTGTTATTTCTTATAAAACTGAAGGACTAAGCTATTAAATAAGAAGTTATTATTCTAATGATATTTTGAGAATTTTTTATTAATATATATTAATATATTAATGTACCCCTATAACTCCTTGTTTCTAAAATTTTCAATTTTTTATAATGATTTTATAATGAAAAAATTAAAACAATTAAAAATTTGTCGTTTTTAGGCGAGGGCCGTAAGAGGAATCAGATCTCTGTAGGTTCTTCTAGCGAGGTGCAGCTGCCGGGTAAGGTGTCCGACGCTGATATCAAATCTCTAAACGCGTCCATCACGGCACCCAGCGGTCTGGAGGAGCCGTGTTTCCTAAAGAAGATGCCGGGAAGCGGTAACATGTGTGTGTCGTTTACGCCACGTGAAGCAGGCGAGCATACCGTGAGCGTGAAGAGAATGGGCAAGCACATACCGAATTCCCCCTTCAAGATCGACGTGAAGGATCGCGAGGTCGGTGACGCGAAGAAAGTTAAAGTTTCCGGTCCCGGTCTGAAGGAGGGTAAGACCCATGTGGAGAACAAATTCTCGATTGATACGAGGAATGCTGGTTTTGGTGGTCTCTCCCTTTCGATGGAAGGCCCGAGCAAAGCCGAGATCCAATGCAAGGACAACGAGGACGGCACTCTTAACATCTCTTACAAGCCCACCGAGCCCGGTTATTACATCATGAATTTGAAGTTTGCGGACCACCACGTCGAGGGCTCGCCATTCACCGTCAAAGTTAGCGGAGAGGGTAGCAACCGGCAGAGAGAGAAGATTCAAAGACAGCGAGAGGCTGTGCCAATTACCGAGGTCGGCAACCAATGCAAACTGACCTTCAAGATGCCTGGTATCACATCCTTCGATCTCGCCGCCACTGTCACGTCACCCGGTGGTGTCACCGAAGATGCCGAGATCAAGGAGGCCGAGGATGGCATCTACGCGGTAGCATTCGTACCTAAGGAGTTGGGCGTGCACACGGTGTCCGTGCGTTACAAGTCCATGCACATCCCTGGCTCGCCTTTCCAGTTCACTGTAGGTCCGCTCAGGGACGGTGGTGCGCACAGAGTTCACGCGGGTGGACCCGGTCTAGAAAGGGGAGAGCAAGGTGAACCATGCGAATTCAACATCTGGACCAGGGAAGCGGGCGCGGGTACTCTTGCCGTCTCCGTCGAGGGGCCTAGCAAGGCACAAATAGATTTCAAGGATCGCAAGGACGGCAGTTGTTACGTTAGCTACGTCGTTAGCGAACCCGGTAAGTTATGAGTGCCTTCTCTTTTTGGTTATACGCAGTGGCCATTGTCATTGGCGGATCCAGAAATTTGTCAAGGAAGTGATCATTGATTCGCTGCAAGCGAACATTTTTTAAGGTCAAATATGGAAAGTTTAATATGGGAGATGCATATATCTACTGATATATGGGGCTACAGTTTAACGCTGAATCCGAACGGCGCTGGTGATTGAAGGTGTCTTAATAATCAAGTGGGGCTATTTTCGGCTCCTTAAAAATCGCGTACGTGGATGCATGTAGGATTGAACCCTAGATCTACGTATCGCGAGTCAATCGCATCGAGCAACAGGCCACTCAACGGCTCAAATTATAATTATATATATTGAAAAAAATATTATTTAAATATATTTAATAATTAATAAAACATTTTATTTAGAATTATATTAATATAAAAAAAGAATAATATAATACGATCTATGATTTCTATATTTAGAAGTTTCTTAAATTAACAAATATTTCTGGATTCTAAAGAAGGCCATGGCCCTTGTGCTTCTTCCCCGTGGATCCGCCAGTGGCCATTGCAAAATTCTATGAAAAGTGGAGCAATATTTATGTTTAAAGTCATCGCACACGCGGATTATACGTTTCCAACGTAATTCGGAACTGTAACATTTACGAATTACCAATTCATCGTTTGAAGTATCCATAAAATGTTACAATATAGTGGTAAAGATGGACTTTTGCCAATCCATTCCTAATTAGTATGAGTCTAGTTGAAGATAATTTGCGTCTTGAAAAGACGGTAACACCGATTCCTAAGTATTTATGAGTTTATTCGCTAAATAAATTCTGTTAAACGACATTTACGCATACTTTGCACTTTGATAGATTATTCGCACGCGTATGCACCTAATCGATTGCGTACTGTCGACTGAATGACTCACGAGCGTTCCAAAATTATACGCCCGAATTTTATGGATCGCCGACGATGTCCACACGAACTAAATCACCCATGACGGGCGTTCGTTGGGTTTAATACGTGTAAATTTAATTATACGGTAATTAAATTATATCTAAATATTTCCTAGAATATAAAACGAAATGTTACTCTACTTACGGAAATTCTATAAACTAAAAAAAAATAGAGAATGCTACCGATTTCCAAAAATTTTTGGGATTCGACATCTTTTTTCAGCTATCTTTTTTCTAACAATTATTCTACGATTGTTTCATGATTGCATAGTATTTTTAATCTTAAACAACTAATAATATTTTTTAAATATAATTTTATATATAAAATAATTTGTCAAAGTATTTGTTTTATATCCAGGCCGTAAATGACTTGATAAAGTAGACAATGTACCTTTCGTCTTTAGTCTTAAATATCGTTGTAGTCACTGATTTTTGCAAATTTTTAACAAATTTTAATTCGTCTTAGTATAGTTATTATTGCAAGTTTTCTGTTAATATTGAGATACCATGTATTCACACGCGATCGAGTTTATATCCGCACCATAGTTACGAACGTAGATCAACGTTGGTCATCCACAAAGTGTTAATGAATCCGACTCGACTGCTTGTTGATCCGTCATCGTCCATAATGCCTCTCTACCCCTCTCTCCTGTTCTGTTGATCGTCCAGTTCTCTCTCTCTCTCTCTCTCTCTCTCTCCCCCCCCTCCTCTCTTTTTCTCAATTCCCGAAATATCACCGTCTATATTTGTTAAGGTGAATCCATATTTTGGCCCCGCAGTTGGCTACTCATGGCTGGACGCGGATTAGCACGCGATGGTTATATTTGGACCCCGTGGGAGCGGATTTTGACGCGGTGGGGAGACCGACGGGGACACGGGGGCGCGAGCAAAACAGAAACACGGGGGTGTGGGGAATGAAGGGGGAGAAAGCTCGCCGACGAATCGAGATCAGGATCGATCTGAGGAAAAGTAGTGGTACGCGACCAACCTTCGGTTACAGCTGCGATCGTTCGTCTCTTTTTTTTTCTTCTCCACTCTTACTTCCTCTTCGCTCCTTTTCTTTTTTCTCTTACGTTTTCCATTCCCCCTCCTCGATCGAATCCTTCCAACTACCCCTGATTTCCTCCTCGTTTGTCTCGCCCGCCAAGACTCCACGTGTTTCCTTCACGTTGGACTTTCATTTTCGGCGAAATCCGTGACGTAGTCCGGGGTCGATGGCTACCTTCACAGCCACCACGCAGATCGTCCTGACCGGAAACGAGTCACAGGAGTCTCAGCAAGGCGATGGTTAGTTCGATCCTTGGGCGGATATTTTCCTGAACTTTTCCTTCTGATTTGTTGGATAGAAAACACAGTTCGCTTTGAACGTTCCGTGATTTATTTAGCCACCGCTTATTTCATTCGGAAATAATGAACATGGCTACTTTGTAGATATCCTCAATTTCCACGTAAATATTAATAATTGTGAAGTAACAGTCTACGATATATTTCAATTATTTTATTTTTCTTTATTATATTATATTATATGAAATATTTCAAAACAAAAACTATTATTCCTTTAAAAGTTAATTTTTATTTAAATAATGCCCGTTTCTAATCAGTGCTGAAGATTAACTTTAATCTCGGTTCAACTTGCTCTTCATCTTTTTTTAATTCTTAGAACTAGAGAAAAAAAAATGAAAAGTTAATTGAACCAAGATTAAAATTTATATTGATTTAAATAAACAAAAAAATATAAATCAGAATTGAATATGGGTTATATTACATTTTCTTGAAAAACGTTGGGGACTTACTATTTAAAAAGCCTCATACTAGCAATACTATATTAATCCATTAATTTATTAAAATGTGCGTTGTTTGTTTTCAGGCGAATATAGGGTGGGAATCAAGTTCAACGATCAGCACATCCCTGACTCGCCGCACAAGGTTTACATCTCACCGGCGATGGGCGACGCACACAAACTCGAGGTCGCGCAATTTCCCGAAAGCGGAGTGCAGCCCGACAAGCCCTGCACCTTCCTGGTGCGCAAGAACGGCGCCAAGGGTGAACTGGATGGGAAGGTAAAATCGCCCTTTCCTCACTGATAACGAGAACAGTCCTTCGATTGTGACATTTGCGAGTTTAACTCACCGCGATACACCTCCTTGCGAAAGAGAGGAGGAACGCCGTAAATAACTCGCGCGCTTGTGAAATAGTCGCCACCACATTAGACCGCGTAGGTGGGATCGCAAACGTATTTTTACTGGTCGCCACATGCACATAGCTAGATGAGTCACATGGAAGATTTCGACACAAAGTGGTAGTGTTTCCGTCATCCTCGTAAGGGTACCTCTTGGTAGTCGCTGATTTGAAAGTCGTGCTGTTTTATTTTCTTCAACTCGACTTTTTGCGACTCAACGATCCACTAGAAAAACACTGAGTCATATGATGTCATATGATAGTAACTAACCTTTGGACACGAAGTATAAAATTTTTAGATTATATAGAAAGAAATTAAATGCTTTGAAATATGCAATATCGAGAAAAGATTTTGTATTTATAAACAACGCACCATTCAATTAGAATTCATTATGCCATTTTGATTCCGCTTAATTATTTAATTTTTTTCGTATTTGTATTTTATATATATGTACACACACTGTAGTACAGAATATTGAAAATATGTAAATATGATACAAAAAATAATACAAATACAAAATAAATTTTCTGTAATAAAAAATAATAGTAAGAAATTATCAAACTGATAAGAAATGCCCTTGCTCACAAATTTTGACGGGAAGAAACCAATTATGGAAATTATTTTTATACGATGAAAAGTTAAATGCTCATTGCCCAATTAACTTATACATTATTCATAAGAAAGTTTACTAAAGATTCTCGAAAACAAATTTTAATATATTTTAATAAATTTCATATAAAGATAAATTTTTGAAAAACTTTAAACTTTTTTCCGTTAGTGGCTGTAAGACGGATCTTCACTTGTATTTCAAACAGAATGTTTTAGATTACTTTAATGTTTAGAACTTAGGTGTAGTTTTTATAGCTATAGTTAAGGGTTAAAAGTTGATCTTCTGAGTCGCATTAATTATCCGTTATCCTTTCAGCTTGTATCACCAAGCGGCACCCAGGACGATTGCTTCATCCAGAGTATTGATGCGGACACATACTCGGTAAGATTCATGCCGACGGAGAACGGTATCCATCAAATCCATCTCAAGTTCAACGGAGTGCATATGTCGGGTAGTCCGTATCGTGTCAAAGTTGGTAAAGTGGACGCTGATCCAGCGGCGTTGCACGCCTATGGCAACGGTCTAAAGGAGATCAAGACCGGTCAGAAAACCGATTTCATCATCGATACCTGCAATGCGGGCAGCGGAGCGCTGGGAGTTACTGTGGATGGACCCAGCAAGGTCGCTATGGATTGTACCGAAGTCGAGGAGGGTTACAAGGTCAGGTACACGCCTTTGGTACCAGGCGATTATTATATCAGCATCAAGTACAACGGCTACCACATCGTCGGTTCACCATACAAGGTTCCTTGCACAGGTGCGTATTCTTTATGTACTTGCAATAATGTATGCATTATTTATAGCTTATTCTAACATTCCAAGTCTAAGAATACAATTTATAAATTATTATATTCCTAAAATGTAAGAATAATTTATAAATTATGCAGCAAAAAACTTAATAGAAAGAGCGGCAGTGAAAAAAATAAATACTATTCCAGGCGCGGATTTGGCGGAGAGAGGCGCGCAAGAGACAAGCTCGATCGTTGTAGAGACTGTGCAAAAGATATCGAAAAGCAAGCAGATTGGACCGGTATTGCCATTGTTTAAGTCTGATGCGGGCAAGGTGACGAGTAAAGGCATGGGCCTCAAGAAAGCTTACTTAGGAAAACAAAATCAATTCACTGTGCATGCGGGAGACGCTGGTATGTAATCGCAATCTCGTCTGTTATCGATTCGTATAAATGGTATAAAAATATATTTCTCATAATTAAGCATCGTTAACTTATTAATTGCATTTCACTCTAAATTCTTTAGATGAAATCTTACTTAAAAATTGAACTCTAGCCTTGAAAAAGAGTGGTTCAGTTTTCAATCTTCAAGAGTGAGATTTCACTCTTCAGAATGACATTTAGTCTAAAAGTTTTAGACAGCGTATCGTTTATATATTTTAATGAGTAAATCCAGATGATAATTTAAACAATGTACACCTAGCATGAGAGTTAATTAACTTTTCGAGTAATTATTTGAAATTGCTAATTAGTATTGTATAATTGTAGGTAATAATATTCTCTACGTGGGCGTGTACGGGCCCAAAGGACCATGTGAGGAGGTCTTTGTAAAGCACACAGGCCGGAACAATTACAACGTGAGTTACCTGGTGCGCGAGCGGGGCGAATACATCGTGATCGTCAAATGGGGCGACGATCACATCCCCGGTTCACCTTATAAGGTCGAGATTTAAGCCGAATCAGCATCCAGATCAGACGTAACGCGTCTGTAACCGCAACGACGGTCAATAAAATAGAGTCATGCGTCATTTCGTTGTAAATTGCATGGGTCTTCGAGTTCATATTCATCTTCGCCAAGTACAGAAACGAATTAAGTGCCAATTTAGATTTTCGAACGTAAATTTGTAATTTAACATTAACTATTGTTGAAAGATACGTCTAAAACGATCCGGCCTACGTTGAAACGACGCATGTTAAATCAATTTCTAGAATAGCAGTCGTACACAGAAGACAATTATGACGCTCTGATGATAAAATTATGATGTGACTTCTCGCCAACATAATTCATTCGTTCATTCTTTCAAAGTCTTGGGGATAATTTTGACATCTTAGAATTGACGATTTTTGCTGAATTCGCGAAACAGAGTAGAATCGCAATTAGAAGTTAAAAACGACGAAGGAACATGTAGGTCAATTACTGTTGTTTGTTCAAAAACACCAATCGTGCCTTTGATTCGATATGATACATACAGAGATATATTATTCGACAGAATCACACACATGCAGTACCATATACAAAGACATATGCTAAGACGCTTCATGTCGCACCCAAGTCAAATCTTGATTATGTTATATATTATTGATTATTGGGGAAACAATTGAAACGGTCCCTCATCGATTTTAATGAGTTTTATTATATAACAGCTAAAAATAAGACACATATTTTTATATGTTCTTTTTGCATGTGTATGTGTGTGTGTATGTTGAAAAGTTAGAACAACCGTTCATAAGTCAACCTTAATTTATAATGATGAGAGAGAAGGAGGAATGTATTAAAAAAAAATTTTTTTTCGACAAATACATAATAATTGCGAAAGCGTAAAATATCGTAACATTTTTCTCCTAAAAGATTCTTTTCATATATTATACAATTTTAATCGATATTTGATTAAAATTAAAATAGAGTTTGTCTTAATCTTGTAAATGTACAAGAAAGCATCCACAGATAAAAAGGTACATGTCTTATTTTTTACTGTTCTGCAATTCTTCAAAATCAAAATCAATGAAGGACAGTTTGGACCGTTTCTTTGTAAGTATAGATTAAATATACTGCAACTGATTATTATTATAATAATAATATAGAAGTTAAATAAATAATATATTTATTATATGGACTTTTTGTTTATACCATCGTATCCTTTTGCGAAAGCATGTTCTCATCTACGAAATAATAAGCGTGCAATACATGATATTTTTCTAATAAGTGAAGCATTGAGAAAAAGAGTATCATATATTATAGTTCGAGGAGTATAAATAAAAAAAAAGAGTGCATTTTAAAGGAAGCAAAAATTTGGAAAATCTTATAAGATAAATTAATTTTTCAAAGTTTATTTCAAAAAAGACAATTCTGTTTCACTACATTAATTGCAAAGTAGTTAATAGAAAAAAATTAAAAAGCGTAATGCAAATTACATTAGTTCAACTTTGTGATGTACGTCATTTAGTTTAATATATTACTTTTAAAAGTTATGAAATATAAACAAAAAATAATTTTAATAACAAAGTAATTGAGGAAGAAATATGATATTTAAGTTATTATTGTTCAACAATTTTTTAATTTTGTATTTGATACATATTTATTCTACAAGCAATACATTTTATATAATTCCAAGTTCGATTTTTTATAAGGACTGTTTTATGAAATCAGCAGACTGCTCTTATTATATTGTACAGTTCCTCTCATTAATATTGCATTACTCCAAATCTTTCTCACGCATTTAAGCTACTTTGCACTTTCTGTCTTTTGTCTTCGTTACTTATTGAATTGATTGCGTGTCAAGATAACAAGATGAAATGAATGTAACCAGATAAGAATAATTGCCAATTTAATCGTCGCGTTTTCAGCGAGTGATTTATATCGCACGTTTACAAAAAAAATAAATAAAAGAAGCGGCCTTTCCATTTGCACTATGACAGCGGATATGCAATAGTCGGCGATTATTTTTAAAATTAATTGCCGAAGCTTTTTTTACGGCAACTTTTATCGAATGCATTTGCATACAATAGGAAATGCATCGCAGATAACTAGTCATCTCGTTCAGCATCACATCTGTAGTTGAATAATGCTACATCGTATTCGTAACAACATTAAATTATCATTTACCTGTGATGTTTCTATCGGTAAGTAATTGTGTACACTTTCTTATCTATCTTTGAAAAGTTCCCTCGAGTCTGCCGTGATCTTGATAAAGTTTGCTCAAACCTTGATCTAAATATAATTAAACTGCTATATTATCGTTGCATCAGAACGATATTAAATAATGCAATTATACCTTTCGAAGTAAATGCGAAATTTTGACGTAATCATATTTAACAAATTATTATGCAAATCATGAAATTTTTTATTTATCTATAAGTGTGGAGTAAAAACAGTTTTTCTAATATATTTAGGTGTAATTTGATAATTTATATCTTTTCGCAATATTTATTTATTTCTATTCATTTTATTATTAAACACATACTTTACATGAATATGCATGTATAAAGATTCAAAATTTATTATAATACATTAATAATTGTTCATTAAACACATCTGCGTATTCTTTCATTTATAAAAACACACATTTAGTTTTAAATACGCACATTTTTCTCTTTCCTACATATAATTCAGGCATAAAATTTTTTTAAATCTCTAAGTTATTGTCGTAGTTTTGAAATTAATAGCAAAATTTTATTATAAAAATTATAAATAACACTTATAAAAATAATCATCAACATGATATTGATTTTTTAAGATTTGAAAAGATTGAAACCAGAGATTAAAGTATAACAATTTAATCTTCATTAGACCTCTACATTAGACCTCTTCTTTTACTATTAACTATGCAATATTAATATTAATTAGAGAGTATATTTCTTTTTTATCTGTTACTCATGTATATCTGTTAACTCAGACAGCTGTCGCCTCACAATCTGTCCTTTATCACCTCCAATTAATCTTACACAAGCAGAAATCGAATTTGGCAAACCTTCGCGACTCGTGTGTGAAAATATTCGGTCCGCTGCACATTTCTGGCTCTCAATTTGTGTGCGCGTGTTCTTACTCTCTCAGAAGAAAGATGGAGAGCGGGTCAAAAAAAGCAGGGCGATAGGAAGAGAGAGAGAGGGAGGGAGAGAGACGTTAGGGGGATCGGAGGGGGTGAAAGGTACGAGAGCGACGAGAAGGAACGATGCGTGGAAGACGTCGCGAGGATTGCGCACCTGGATCTCTCTCACCCAGCTCTCGCGGCGACGCCCGCGAAGGTGTCGCAGGACAAGGGACTCGAGCGGCGGGAACGGAAGGACCTCTCAGACGCGGCCTGTCCCCCCCCCTTTGGTGAAAGGGGGCGGCAACACGCGATGCGAATCGAGTCCGCAGGCGTCGGGAACGTGCGGCCGACTTGCGCCGTGTGCGAGCGCCCGTCATCCCTTCCGCTCGCGGGGTTCGCCGAGCGAGAAACACGCCCCGTCGCGACGGCGTACAGCCTCCTCCGGGGCCGACGAAATCGCGGATCGTCCCAGATGCTCGCGAGCGGCTGCCACGTGTGGTCGCGTGGCCTTCGAGTCCCTCGCCGCTGTGTTTTTCTCCGTTAGAGGTCTTCAAGTACAAACAGATTGGACACCATACGTTTGCTCTATCATATCTTTCAGGATCTGCTTAAGATAGGATGAGATAGATCATGCATCAAACTGGGAGCACATACTTTTGCATAACGCATAAAGCGTAAGAAAATGAACTAACTAAAGTTCCTCATTTCTTTCCTTTTCATAAAATAAAGAACTCTGATCGGTTGAATTTTTTACGTCCTATGCGTTATGCAAGAGCGTGCTCCTCGTTTAAGATTGTACAAGATATACACGCATCTCGTTCTATCTTATCTCATTCTATTTTAAGTCGTGAAAATGTGCTGGACTAATCGGAAGTTGTGTAAACGTTGACATTTACAGTCCGCCACAAACTAATTAGAATTTGTCCAATTTCTTACTTGAGGAACTCTCTTATTGAGACTATACTACTAACTACTAGTCTACGTTACAATTGTGATCACAATTCGACGATCGGTTCAAATTGCGCTTTTCAGATTTCATAAATTGCAAAAAAAAAAAACATAGTCCATTATCGAGGATTAAATTATTTATGTTAATCTCATTCAAATATTTCGAAATATTAAGAAATCAATCTTTCATATTGATGGTTATTTTTGTAAATGTTAGTTATAATTTTTGTAACCAAATTTTACCATTAGTTTCAAAGTTACAATGATTCAAAGCTTTTAAAATGTAAAAATTACGATTCATTTGATGCTTTGAAGCATTCTTTTAATTGGTTAATTATAATTAGTAAAATTCTTTTTTCTGATCAATTAAATGCGTTGAAATATTTGTAGCATCGGTAGGCTGCATTCAAAGTCTGATGACGCATCGGATAAATTGCCCAATTGTATCGTAACAAATTCAATTATGTAATTGTGAATTTTTGCTATCAAACTGCGATTATATCAAGAGATAGACTTTTAAAATTATAATAAAATGTGTATGTGTAAATATACCTTTAAAATTACATTCAAAAGCGTTACAGTAGGCAAATAATGCCGTGTAGATTTGTTTGTCAGTCGACAAAATCCTGCGAATATGAATCATTTCAAAGATTTAACCTTAAAATAAAACCACAATATTTGAAATTCTCTATTATCTCTTAATTCATTCAAGAATTAGCTTCTATAAATGTTAATTATTGTGGGGTGCGATGGTAGAAGACTATCAAGGTATCATTTAAGAAAGTCGAAAAAGATTAAGATTTAAAATAAACCTGTAGATTTTATTTCTGATTGATGTCGACATCGATTCCTGTATCTTTTAAAAAATAAAGAACTCGCTACGACAATTACAAAATACATATAAAGATACAATAAATTTATAAATTCAAAGGCACATCAAGGAACACAATTCTCTATAACGGATATCGTTGAAAAATCTAAAAGATCGATCTTTCACCATTTCCACGTGCAATTTCTAAACATCTTTTCGAGCTTTGTCTGCACCTTGCATGCATCTCTTAGCCGTTGTTATTAAGATCGCCTACGTTTATCCTCGCGTTCTCCTATGGGTCTATATCTACGATATTACCCTCTTCCGTCCACAACGAAGTATCGCCGACAGTTCGACGGTAATGCCGAGCGTTTCCATTTTCTATGCAGCAGGATGGAATAGAGTTCAATGACTCGGAAAGAGAGAGGAAGAGAGACAGGAAAGGGGAGGGAGGCAGAGGCGTCTTTCGCGGCGTTCCGCGGGATTGACTGCGGACAGACGAGCTCGGGGCGAGCTTCTCGTGCGTGAACTCGCGCGTAAGTAGGAAAATGCGTCGCGGACGCGATGAAAAGCACGATGGAGATAGAGGCGGAGCTTTCACCGCCTCCACCTACGAGCCCACCTTTCGCGGGAGGTATGTCGCCCGGCTGGGTTTCCCGGACCTTTTCCACAACCTCCTGCTCCTCTCTTTCTCTCTCTCTCTCTCTCTCTCTCTGCCTTTTTTTTCATTCCCACCACCATGGTCCACCACCTCCACCTCGGGGAACGGCCCCGACATTTTCCTTCATCGACTGCCTCTTACCGGTGATGATGAATCCGCACCAGCCAGCCGGGTTTCTGCAGTCTACCTT